GCTGTTAATTCGGTACAAGGCTAGCATACCGAAATTCTAAAACATCAAAGATCTGTAATCCATCTAACTTTCACGGAAAATATTCAGAGATGGATCGTGTTTCAATAATGTCTTTTTTATCTCTAAAGCTATGTACAATAAATGTATCACTTAAATAGTATATACTACGAATGTTCCATCTCGTTTACTATAAATTTGAAGAGAAGTATAAATAAACCACACACAACATACACGTTTATGTGTAAACTTTACAGATTTTTCTAATATTTTTGGCGTTTATATGCAGATTTATCAGCGTTTTGGATTATTTGAAGGTTGTTTACCCTGGGCACGATAATACCCAGGTGCGGAGTTATATATACACTCAGCTGATAACGCCTTGGGTATATGTGTTTTATGTAACAGGTGATATGTTTGTATATGGAATACACAACTGGTGCTATATATCACACACACACACCAATAAATCAACAGTCATATTTTTGACAGATTGTTTTACAAATTACTGTTGTGTTGGAGCCGAGGAAGAGGGCTGTTAATGTATAATGATTTAGGATGCTATGATCTACGTGAACTTTTATGCTCCTTCCCACGAAGTCAGACTTTTGCGTTTTACATAGCTAAGAAACATTAAATAATTCTGCCTTATAAGTGATTTTATCTTTCATTCTCGATTTTAAGAACAGCGTAATCTACACTCTTCACGCGATTTGACTATTACACCACTCAACGTTTCACAACCACCAGAACACGAACTGATGAGTTTGCGTCCGTAGTCCGTATGGCTTCACAGTTCAGCGGGAATGGCGGTCAGTGCTATGATAAGTGCGCCCTTTGCTACATAATGTAGCTAACACGACTTCGAGGCTTTGAGGCGTGACATAAAGGTGTTACACTGAGCTTCTAAAGTTACTTAACCGGTGGTCACACGACGTGACTATGTGAACAACGACCATGACATGGAGTGGTACTCCATCTCTGTGGTCCTATCTCTTGTCACACGATATAACTCTGTATTGACACTACTCCATGAGATGGAGTGGTACTCAATCTCTGTGACCCTATCTCTTGTCACACGATATAACTCTGTAATGACACTACTCCATGAAATGGAGTGGTACTCAATCTCTGTGACCCTATCTCTTGTCACACGATATAACTTTGTATTGACACTACTCCATGACATAAAGTGGTACTCAATCTCTGTGACCCTATCTCTTGTCACACAATATAACTCTGTATTGACACTTTTCCCTGAGATGAGTGGTACTCAATCTCTGTGGCCCTATCTCTTGTCACACGATATAACTCTGTATTGACAGTATTTGATGAGATGAATGGTACTCAATCTCTGTGGCCCTATCTCTTGTCACACGATATAACTCTGTATTGACACTACTCCATGAGATGGAGTGGTACTCAATCTCTGTGACCCTATCACTTGTCACACGATATAACTCTGTATTGACACTATTTGATGAAATGAGTGGTACTCAATCTCTGTGGACCTATCTCTTGTCACACGATATAACTCTGTATTGACACTACTCCATGAGATGGAGTGGTACTCAATTTCTGTGACCCTATCTCTTGTCACACGATATAACTTTGTAATGACACTACTCCATGACATAAAGTGGTACTCAATCTCTGTGGCCCTATCTCTTGTCACACGATATAACTCTGTATTGACACTATTCCATGAGATGGAGTGATGAATATATGGTATACCTATTATTTCAACATATGATGCGACTCGCGCACCCATAACTCTACCTCAGACCAACTTCCTCGATGTCTGCCCTAGATACTGTCATCCTAAGTGCTTTATGTATTGAATTGCAGTCCTGTCTTGTCAGAACCGTTGATATGTTATTTAACACTATCACGTTATGACCTGTTTATCTTGACATAATCTGAAAACACAATAAACTACACATCGCTTGTTGTACACGTTAGAAAATAGTTGCCCCAGTCTTCCATTGGTTTCACGGTACAGTATGGTATTAATAATGTTCCCATGATAATGCGTATCTCCGACTGCTCGATAGGACATTATCAAGCGTTATTCACTGCTTAGCGCTGCTGTGTGTCTGTACTGTGCTGTTATGGACTGTTGATCTGAATTAAGATTTAAAACCGTATCAGCATTTTGTTTTCAAGTATTATCTCTGTTGTGACAAACGTCATGAAAGTGATGTATCGATGATGCTTGGCCACCATGCTCGACTCAAGAGAGGCCTGGTTCGTTCCCACCTACTTCGTTATTTGATTGAATGATAATTCTTGACATAACAAACTATACGAATGGACAAATACTCTATAGATGTGGAAACAAATAAATGTTCAGATTATTTCAAATATGACATCTTGTATTTGAAGCTTGGTCGATTGGTAAAACTTTAATCTCTGCTTCTGTCGTTACGCTTCAATGTGTTTGAGTTTCTCTAGAACCTAGGTACCGCATGATTTGACAACAATAAAACTTTTCCCCGTTTATTGGTAGTGCTATATACACTGTAACGGAAAATCATTATTTTAACAGAGAAACTTTTGTCAGGAATATGCCATATATTTGCGAACTGAATATTTACGTTATAGTTGCATGCTAGAGACTGGAATATCTCAGAGTAATGTAGCAAGACAGTTCGGAGTGCATATTGATACGAACAATATTTTGTGGATGTATTATCAGCAAATGAACGCATCACGTGACCGCCCACGAACATGGCGTATACACGACCGCTGTATTTGCGTTATTGGTTCGAGTCCTCTACATTGACCGCTAGTACCAGGACTGTCGGAAACAGTCCAACATTCGCCCTCGACATCCAGTTATTTCTGTCCAGTTTTGTTTCAACATCATAGACATGCGCGCTACAGTGTTAAAATAGTTATCTATGGTTCAGTAACAGGGACTGATCTGAAATGCTATACAAAGCCTTGACCTTTCACCTTGAAAACAGTAATGTTCTTGTTCAGGTGAACTGTGGACCGAGAGAACGTTACACAGCACCAAATAGGACATGGTTTTGCGTTGCTTTACAACGCATGGAAGGACGTGTTTAGTTAAAGCGGAAGACAACTTGACCGTTTTGCGCTAAAGTGACGAAATATCCGTATTAACTGGCTCTACATCGAGTAAGTTTGGGATGAAATGTAGCGACATCTACGTCAGGAGCAAAACCTTCCTGCGACGCTGGACGCATTGCGTTTGTACATTGTCAGACATATGGATCCGTTCCCTGCGTCGTTGATGTGTGCTTGGGTATGCATCCATGTGAATGATGCACATATACGGTTTTGAACTTCAAAGTGGATTTGCACCAGGATTGAAAATCAAGAACACGACAGAATCTTCTACATCAGGTTTCAAATTCCCAATTGTGACCGATGATAGCAGTTTTTTTAAATTTAAAGACAAGAATTCATCAACATATCTGAAAGTGAAATAAAGCGACTTTGCAAGGTAATTGTGACCTGCATTGAGAAGCTCTTTAATCAATTAAGTCTCGTATGAAATCCAAAATCACGTCAGCCGGCAGAGGGGCACAATTAGTTCCCATCGGAATGCCAATAGATTGTTGGAAGAGCTTACCACTAAATTCGACGAAGATGTTGTCAACCAGAAATTAGATCATGCATTTGACGTTGGTTGTCGCTCTTTTGTGATCATCAAAGGAGCGTATCAGTCTGTGATTGGTTAGTGTTAGTGAGTGAAATACGCTCTAGACCAATCAAATTACTTTGCTTGTGCGTAATCCTTGGAATATCGAGTATGGTCCAGGGGTACAGAGAGCCATACTGAATGTAACCCCTTGGGTATTATTATAATGTTATCTACGTGTTCGGAACACCAACTCGCTAGAATTTTGTGACGTCATAATATCGCTCGTCTGGGAAGTTACTTGCCGAACAATATGGCATCAGTGTGTAAATGGAATAAGGACAGGCATGCGTTAAACTTTACAACGCATCGCACTGCTTTATTGTTTCGCTATCTGCTGTTAAATAAATGTGTTTTGGGTCACGTCACACGTGGTTGTTATAAGTAAATACTATTTCATACTAATCTGACAAGTAACATGTTGTCAGGGCAGGTTTACTGGGAAAGCTACGCTGTAGTGTAGACAAATAAAACTCGCTCTGTTTCATTACATTTTTGGTTTAGTATCTGGAGGATCGTACTTTTCGTTTGCTATAAGGGTAGAGTTATGTAAGTTATGTGAATATCGACGATCTTGGCTGTTCACACAACACTGACAGGTGGAAACAGGTGTCTTGCCCTTGTCGATTGGGTGAGATATGTCGATCGAGAGCACAGTTGTCTGATTGGCACGGGTGCTGCTCCCAGGCAGGTCCGAAATTGCGGACGTGTTGACAGACTGTGTACTGCATCAGCACTACTGTTTATCAGTCGTGTCGTTACGGCGTTGGCTCGCTTATACTTTGCTTAATGATTGTGCAATGTGCGTAGCACCTGCTTCAAGGCTGTCTCAATATTAAAAACATGACCTTGTCAAAGAGGTTGAGTAGAATACCGGGTTTCCTGATGGGGAAGAGGAGTTGGAAAAATCTTGTATTGCTGTCTAATTACAATACCCGTCTTATATAAAAACGCGTACACGTCAAAATTCGTGTCTTTTTTGTATGTAACTAAGTGTCACATTCCAGTTGTTTGCATGACACTGAAACAAAAACCATTCTAAATTAGTATATTTGATGGACGTAAAATACATTTCCTCCTACGAAATTCACCATATGTTAATTTTCCTTCCTATCCGCTCACTCATACCATCGGTTTTTGCCGGTAAATCATTAGGTGCAGCCATTCAATGAAATAAAAGCACAGTTTGGAATATTATCGAACCAATATGATTTAGCGTTACAGACTTAACCTAACGTGATGGTGGTGCTTGATTAACGTTTAATAATCCCTAACCAATAGGGAGATTTTTATATAAAACACGTTTTAAAGTGCTGCTTTCTTTTGATTTCAGAATGTAATACCATTCGTGCTTGTGACATGCACGTTCAGGGCCATCCATATTACTACGCATGTCCCGATCAGAGCATTATTCCTACTGGTACTCGCCATGTCAGACTTCATGGCCATGGTAAGTTATTTTTGGTAGTGTTTATATTCTTGATTTGAAGTATTACAACATTGGACATAAAGCCAGGATTATATCACGCTCCTATAAAAATGTCCTCACAGGTTTTGGTGTATTATTATTTTTAACCTATATTTTAATTTGTTGAACGATTCCTGGCAGTTAAGTAATCAATGTTTTAAATGCATGATAATCTGTATAATTTTACTCAAATTGTCATGTTCAAGGTATTTGTCTTTATTTGAACACTCGTCATTGATCATAACATATTTAATTACTAATATTGTTATATTACCCTATTTGGAGATTTCATTTAAATGCATTGATATATTTTTTTCAGAACTTTTTTTTCCTGGTCCGTGATTATGGTAGTTGGCTCGAGATTGGTACAAGCATCAGTCATTACGTCATTGTTATGTGTATGATCATATTCCTTATGTTGTTGTTTGGCCTGTCTCACGGGCTAACCACATTCTCAGTGATACCCCGTAAAATTCATAGGAACTAAAATGGCTTACCATATTCCCTGTGATACCACGGAGAGTGCACATGAACTTGGCTGTCTTTACACATTCACAGTGATGCCTCGCAAAGTCCACAGGAACAGAACTTGGTTATCACTTTCCCTGTGATACCACAGATCAAAACTGGTTTTTCACATTTTCCGTGAAAGTAAACAAAGCTAAAAGGAAGTTAACGGGTTCACTATATTCTAGTTCCGCCACAACGTTCAGGGAACAGTACGAGTTCAGAAACAAAAAGTTTTATAACGTTTTATAAAAAGAGATAATGGCGAATTTACATTCTTGTAATAAAAAGGAAATTTTGAACTGCGACGCATCCGTCTACATGTGTTTAGAAATCAAATGCAGAAATACAGTTAAATGTCCATTGATTTGATAAACAATTTCCTAAGCATGTATAATGCATAGTAATCGAAAATGCGACGTTCATACTTAACAAATGATTACATTTGTTGCTCATAAATACTGCTCCTTGCAAGATGTTCTTTCCCTATAAACGAGAACTTCCTATCTAATTTAATGAGCTCAGACTTTCATTGATACTACGGGTTTGTTTTGTAAAATAAAAATATTGGCATGAAAGCTTGAAGCACATTATCATTAAGACACATTTTCGGGGTATAAAGGTCACTACACCGCTGCTTTATTAACATAGTGTGAGAGGATCTCTACCGAAACGTCACCATTCATTGTATCAACATTTAGTGTATTTCTTATTAAGTCAAACTCAATGTACTGTTACAGCGGTAAAATGTTTCAGATTAAAATCTACGGACCTACGAGGAGCTGGGTGATGCTTTCGTTAGCAGATACATCTGTACTTGAGAGCATTTGGATGGTATTTTTGTGTGCGTTTTTACACGAAAAGTTTTCTTTCTGGTTTCCAGATGAACATCAGCTAGAACTTTTCACGTATGCATTTAATGGAGAGCTTAATACGTAAACTACACGATGTTTTATTCGTTCTTTTGCGTTAAGATGATGAAATGTCGGTCTAATTTGACCGATATTTTAGTTCGGACTCAAAAGTTTTACTATAAAACATTACATTTGATTTTGGATTACCGGTGTGAAGTTGCTTAATGAATAAATGATAATCTCGTCCCATAAATACGTGTAAAATGATTTTCTGAAAAATATAATGTAAGTGATTTAGGAATAATTGAAGGGAATTAAAAGATAACTTTGTAATCTGAAATTGAGATGGACTGACCGTGGGCGCTGGCTAGTCAATACCGGATATGTCCCCCATTCGCTCTCTCCACAGTCATAATTCTCCTAGGCACGAAGTTCATGAGCAACCTTATCCTCCTCATTGGGATGTTGGCCTATTCTTCCAAGAGGGCTGCTCTCAATTGGGCCAGAGTAACGGAGAGACTGGCGTCGTCGAACCTGTCTAACCAGCTGGTCCAACAAGTGGTAATAGGGAATAGGTTGGGGATGTATGATGGCCAGTTTAGTGGGTGGATATTTTTGTTAGTGAGAAAGTCGCGACAGATCCTCGCTACATGGGGTCAAGCTTTAATGTGAGGTTGTTTTGCTGTAATAGTGGGGCAACATGGGGTCGGAGGATCTCATCTCTATACTTAGCGGCAGTTCAATTACACTATACCAGAACCAGCTACTCAACAGTCGGCTAAACGTTCTCCACGACGTCGGTATACACGACGTCGACCGCCTGCTCGAAACAGGGTGAACCGGGACTTATTAGTAAACAAGACCCGCCTCCACTGCCTCAATGAGATAATTCTGGGAGCATGTGCCGCATCCCAAACCATCCGACGCTGGCGACGAGCAGCGATAAGGGGCAGACCTACACACGGGTGACGTGCCCGCAGACCAACTTCCAACAATCGTTTCCTTACAGTTTTGGCATCGGTAGGACGGTAATGAGTACCTATGGTATGAAGGGCAGATGTAATGGCAGTAAGATGCCGACTGTACAAATGCGCGAGACGAATAAACCTGCCCTGACCTTGTGACGTCACGCGCCGACGCCAATACCTAGGTCTATCAGCAACCCGCCCAGTTTCCCTTTAACACCTAACAAGACGTTATATAGTGCAAACATGGACACCGAAATGTCTGGCAACCTTTGACCTTGCATAATTATCGCAATGGCCTGACCCCTCTGAACTTCCGTCAGTCGTGTCATTGTTTAATTAATGAAGAGTACCTATGGTATGCCGATCAGTGTAATTCAATGTCACAACACTGCTGTGCACGAGATTTTCCCGTTTCGTGCTTTCCCCGGAAGACATCGTCACGCAATGCAATAATGCTACATTCGAAACAGGACCACGTGCACTGTAACCTTCAGAGTCGCTTGATCGATTTTCACTGTTTTTGAACGACGTGTTCGCTAAATATTGCCAATAATGTCACCCAGCTTCTCATTATCCCTTGAGTATATGTTTGAAAACTCCAAAAGTAACCTGTATCCTGTACTATGAACTATTCTATTATCCTTGTCATGGGTGTGAGCTAGGATGAACATCTTAACCCAAAACTTGTTCAAAACCTTTAATAAATTATCAAATTGGGTCAAGTCCTCTTCATTAAATTCTACTGCGTGTCTTGAACTTAAATATAGAGCTAAGTATTACACATATAAAAAGTTATGGAAGTTTAACTGAAGGGGGGGTGTTAATATTTTTTTTCAAATTAAACAAAATTTCAACAAATTCAAGGTTTGAAAAACTGTTTGACAACATTTTAGTTGCTGTTCACCTCAAATATGAACGCATTTCATTTTGGTTATTAAGTTTACTTAAAGTACCGAAAATTTCATCAAAATCCGGGACTGGTTAAATTGTTCCAGGGACAGATTTTCTTATGATGTCAGATTCAAAAAAATATTTCAAATTTTATCAGCATGTTGTCCTTTTCTTTATGGAACAGAAACAAAAGGGCGTGGCTATTATATGCATGTGTTGAAACACTGGCAAAGATTGCTTTAATCTAAATTCATACTCCCAAATAATTTCTGATAATGATTGTTGCCATACTTCAGGCATACTATGATAGTAACTCACAAACATTAATCACTTTTGTCAATTCAGATTGATTGATACAGCAGCTGATTTTACCAAACGGGAGCTGTTATATTCTGTAGTCTACTATTGGTACTTTTCACTAAAATTGCACATTTAGTACAACACCTTAGTTATCTAAGCTTATTCCTAAGTTTTGTTGTTTCTACATTTGCGGGAGTATCTACCCAAGACACAGAACACCTTACCTGTGTTTCAATGTTTCTTTATCTGCTGGAGTACCTACCCTAGTCACAGAACACCATTACCTGTGTTTCAATGTTTCTATATCTGCTGGAGTATCTACCCCAGACACAGACCACCATGACCTGTGTTTCAATGTTTCTATATCTGCTGGAGTATCTACCCACGACACAGAACACCATTACCCGTGTTTCAATGTTTCTTTATCTGCTGGAGTATCTACCCAAGACACAGACCACCATGACCTGTGTTTCAATGTTTCTATATCTGCTGGAGTATCTACCCACGACACAGAACACCATTACCCGTGTTTCAATGTTTCTTTATCTGCTGGAGTATCTACCCAAGACACAGAACACCATTACCTGTGTTTCAATGATTCTATATCTGCTGGAGTATCTACCCAAGACACAGACCACCATTACCCGTGTTTCAATGTTTCTTTATCTGCTGGAGTATCTACCCAAGACACAGACCACCATTATCTGTGTTTCAATGTTTCTATATCTGCTTGAGTATCTACCCAAGACACAGAACACCATTATCTGAGTTTCAATGTTTCTATATCTGCTGGAGTATTTACCCACGACACAGAACACCATTACCTGTGTTTCAATGATTCTATATCTGCTGGAGTATCTACCCAAGACACAGAACACCATTATCTGTGTTTCAATGTTTCTTTATCTGCTGGAGTACCTACCCTAGTCACAGAACACCATTACCTGTGTTTCAATGTTTCTATATCTGCTGGAGTATCTACCCAAGACACAGAACACCATTATCTGTGTTTCAATGTTTCTATATCTGCTTGAGTATCTACCCAAGACACAGAACACCATTACCTGAGTTTCAATGTTTCTATATCTGCTGGAGTATTTACCCACGACACAGAACACCATGACCTGTGTTTCAATGATTCTATATCTGCTGGAGTATCTACCCAAGACACAGACCACCATTACCTGTTTCATTGATTCTATATCTGCTGGAGTATCTACCCAAGACACAGAACACCATTATCTGTGTTTCAATGATTCTATATCTGCGTCTACCCAAGACACAGACCACCATTACCTGTTTCATTGATTCTATATCTGCTGGAGTATCTACCCAAGACACAGAACACCATTATCTGTGTTTCAATGTTTCTATATCTGCTGGAGTATCTACCCACGACACAGAACACCATTACCCGTGTTTCAATGTTTCTTTATCTGCTGGAGTATCTACCCAAGACACAGACCACCATTACCCGTGTTTCAATGTTTCTTTATCTGTTTCAATGTTTCTTTATCTGCTGGAGTATCTACCCAAGACACAGACCACCATTACCCGTGTTTCAATGTTTCTTTATCTGCTGGAGTTTCTACCCAAGACACAGAACACCATTACCTGTGTTTAATGATTCTATATCTGCTGGAGTTACCCAAGACACAGAACACCATTATCTGTGTTTCAATGTTTCTATATCTGCTGGAGTATCTACCCAAGACACAGAACACCACCTGTGTTTTACCTGTGTTTCAATGATTCTATATCTGCTATCTACCCAAGACACAGGACCTGTGTTTCAATGTTTCTATATCTGCCTACCCAAGACACAGATATCTGCTGGAGTATTTACCCACGACACAGAACACCATTACCCGTGTTTCAATGTTTCTTTATCTGCTGGAGTTTCTACCCAAGACACAGAACACCATTACCTGTGTTTAATGATTCTATATCTGCTGGAGTATCTACCCAAGACACAGACCACCATTATCTGTGTTTCAATGTTTCTTTATCTGCTGGAGTATCTACCCAAGACACAGACCACCATTACGTGTTTCAATGATTCTATATCTGCTGGAGTATCTACCCAAGACACAGAACACCATTACCTGTGTTTCAATGATTCTATATCTGCTGGAGTATCTACCCAAGACACAGACCACCATTACCTGTGTTTCAATGATTCTATATCTGCTGGAGTATCTACCCGAGACACAGACCACCATTACCTGTGTTTCAATGATTCTATATCTGCTGGAGTATCTACCCGAGACACAGACCACCATTACCTGTGTTTCAATGATTCTATATCTGCTGGAGTATCTACCCAAGACACAGACCACCATTACGTGTTTCAATGATTCTTTATCTGCTGGAGTACCTACCCTAGTCACAGAACACCATTACCTGTGTTTCAATGATTCTATATCTGCTGGAGTATCTACCCAAGACACAGACCACCATTACCTGTTTCAATGATTCTATATCTGCTGGAGTATCTACCCGAGACACAGACCACCATTACCTGAG